ATTCCTGCTTACCTAACCTAATCCCAAGAACAAAAAAATCACGAAAGTAAAATGTGGGTCGCAATTAAATTCAGATCTTACCACGATAAAATCAAAAGAATACCCAATTTCCAGGAATTAGTGAGCTAAAACAAGATTTAAGGCAAGGCGCTTGTGCAATATATTATTATTTTGAATAAAATCAAATGCTGCATTTGATAAATGAAGTTAGAGAATGATTAAAAATAAATAAATAAAGAAAAGCATGGCCAGATTATAGAAAGTTAACCTTTGTCAGTTGTGTTCGTGATGGGAGACAGAGTGAGGAAGCGTCTGCCGCTAGGGTTTTAAGCTCGCGTTTGACGTCAGTACTGTAAGTTTCTTGAATCGGGTGGTAATACTCTGCAGTGAGAATACTTACGGTATCTTACGGTCGCCACTAAACTCTTGCCATATGTCATGTTTTTAGATGCCTTTTCTTTCTCTCTTTCCTTTCCTTTTCTTGGCAAACCTTGAAAATTCCCAACATTTTTTGTTAATTTGTTTGTATCACTCTTAATGAAATACTCTCACTAGTTTCCATTAATACAATAATTACATAAAATTTGAAACTTGTAATATTTTTTTTAAGAAAATCATCATTTATTAAAATAATATATATATTATTTTTCAATTAAATGTTGCATGTATTCTTAGATTCATTTAAAATTAATCCATAGTGATTGTGAAAAAAAAGTTAGAGAAAGAAATTAGAGGATTTTGAAGAGAAAAAATGAGTGAAATAAATTCACTTGGAAGGCATGTATTGAGCAAATAGACGAGTAAAGTGTCATTTTCTAATTATTTTATTTTTAAATGATATTTAGTCAAATTTTAAGTAAAATCCTTAAACTTTCAAATTAGAATTCTTTGTCAAAATTATAGGAAATACAAAATGGATATTGAATGGGTTTATTAGTGTGGAATAAAAGGTAATTAATGTAATTTTTTTATGAAATAAAAAAAGAAACTAGGTGTTTTAAGGGCCTAAAAGTGAGCTAAATTAGAAGAAAAAAAGGGATTAATTTATTTGGTTTAAATGCTTATTAATTGTATGTGATTGATATGTATTAATATAAGGATGATAATTGATGATGAATTTAGTTATTCTTTTTAGTTATATTTGAATTGTTAGTATACATTGATTTAGGGTTTTGATAATTAATTAGAGAAATGCTTGATCATGGTGTATATTTTTATTGTAATGGATATGTAATGGTTGTTGTTAGTGTAAATTATGGTGAGATTTGAGATAAATTAAAGGGGGGAAGAAGACTTTAGGTGGAATGGGTTCTAGGAAATCCAATTAATTAATTAATTTTTATGCATTGTGATTTTCTACTATAAATAGACAAGTTTAAAGAGAATTAACATGACACCATACTTTTATTGACTTGCTCATAAATTGTTAGTTTTCTCTTGCCAATAACAATTCTCGGCCATATATTATCTTAAAATGCATTTATCAAAACACCAATAACACAACAAGGTACCATAATTAAAGATGAGCACTAATCTTTTCATTAATAGCATAATGGCCAAAAACTTATTTTTCTCCACTTACCATGAGGTACTTGTAAGTATTCTTCATTATTATATTACTCTTCACCTTACATAACCAAAATCTATAAAAAATAATTGCTCTGTTCAACTCTCCATATATTTTTTTTTCTTATTATACTCACTATTTTCTTGCTCAAAATAATTCTCTTCACTTACATTTATTAAATTAAGCATTAGAGGTCTTCTATTTTGATAAGAACTTGTTTTGAAAGGAAGCATGAAAGTCACCTCATCAATCCATTAGACTAGTGGTTAAGTCTAAGCACTTCACCAATTTAATATTGTAATAGTGGAAAGGTTAATCCAATCCTGAAATCTTCACGAATTCATCATATAGAGATTAATATATTTATATAAGATAATTTAGATATTTATTTTTAAAAATATTATGTATATGCACTTACATATGTTCACTCATCTTTTTATTTTTTTAATAAAAAAACACAAAATTTTATTTGGTTTATACCACTAGTTAGCTCATGTATTTTAAACAAATAACTAATTATAGATTGAATCCTTATGAAAACTTAGTACCTCTAGTTGTTGTGGATGATTTCTCCATAAACAAGGAAGAAAATCTAAAAGAGCAAATGAGAGAGGAGGATGTAATCGTTGAGGTAAATCTCCTAAGTGAGCCCTTGAATATTGATGTTGTAAAAAAAATAGTATCACTAAATCTTTTATGTACAGAGGTATACTATCTATTAATGAGTAAGAATATACTATTTTGTAATCTTCTTATTGAAAAATGATCTATCAACGACATTTAGAATTTGTATATTATTCTTTGTTTTTAACCTATATATTTTCATAAAATATTTATAGTTGTTTTCATTATCTTTATTTGACTATAAATTATTTTTAAAGGATTAAAATCAATAAGGATTTTTTTATAGAGAAAACATTTTTTATCTCATTGTAAATAAGATTTGGTAAGCATTAAAGTAATTTTGTTTGATGAGAATTAACTTATGTTTGTAACTATATTTAGTGAGGATCATATCTTGTTAATATGACACAATTGAAGTTAAATAAAGTATGAATAAAATATCAAGAAAGATATAATTTTTGAAAATAGTCTGGATAAGAGCCCTAATTATGATTTTTATTATTAAATAATATATCTCTAATAGTTTGTTCTTTTTAAAAAAGCATTACAAAACTGCAAACAATTTTGCAATCAACCCTTAAAAAAAAAAAGAATCCTTAAACATTTAGGGTAAATAAAAACAAAATCAGAAATTAAGATTGAAAATATAAATTAAATAGGAAAGTAATAAACTAACAAAAAAAATATCTTTTGAGTTTAATACGAAGATCTTTTTGATCTTGGGTATTTACAACCAGCTGACCCATGACTGAACTAGATTTGTATAATCTCTTGAATAATTTAAGTAACACAACTAAAAGATTGATGTCTTTTTCTAAGTGCAGGAGTGTCGAAGTAATAAATAACCCAGCAAGACTGGGTTCGAACCACAAGGAGGTTAATTGTATAAATTATAGATAACAATAATACAACAACAACAATAACAACAATAATAGTAACAACAACAACAATAATAATAACAATAATAATAGTGGTGGTGGTGGTAGTAGTAGTAATAATAATAATAGAAGAAGAAGAAGAAGAAGAAGTTGATGAGAACTTTGAGATGAAAGATTAACGTAAGGATTAAACAATGATAACAACAAATATTAAGTTTAGAGGATCCACTAATGGTATGTCAAACAAGTATAATATAAACTCTTATTATCAATTGGAAACCAAACACAAAGGAGGTTCCAATCAGGTTATAAATTGTTAATAAGATTACATTAGTTATCTTATTTGATTAATGCTAATACTTGTAAATGTTGTTAGACATTTATGATTATAACTTATGTTAACAACCAATCAAGTTCCTTTCATAGCATAGGTGACGGTTATACCATACAGTATGGGCTATGAAAATGCTAAATATTTGTTGTACCAAGTGTTATACAACATAAATCTAGATTAGTTATTTAACAAGCAAAGTATTAAAGAGTGAACAAGATAACAAATATAAAGTATCAAATATTAAAGTCCATGTTAAGTTTACACTATACTTATTCTTACTCCATTAGTGTAACCTTTTCACCTTGACATAATAAACTTAGCTTAACATAATGAAAGATAGAAACATAAATAAACAAGATAAGAACATAAATAAGATAAAAGTTAACTAAGTAAAGGAAAAGAAATGAAAGGCATAAACAAGATATTAATGAAAATAAAACTTAAGCATTACAAAAATACAAAGAGAGAACAAGATAACAAATACAAAACATGTTAGTATCAAATATTAAAGTCCATGTTAAGTTTACACTATACTTATTCTTACACCATTAGTGTAACCTTTTCACCTTAACATAATAAACTTAGCTAAACATAATGAAAGAGAGAAATATAAATAAACAAGATAAGACCATAAATAAGATAAAATTTAACTAAGTAAAGGAAAGGAAATGAAAGGCATACGCAAGATATTAATGAAAGCAAAACTTAAGCATTACAAAAATACAAAGAGAGAAAGTAAGAACATGACCTTGATCTGAAAACCAAAATGCCTAAGTGCATAGAAAATGCTTCCTTTTATAAGCAAAAAATAGGAACTATTGATTTGTTGACTAATTGTTGAGTGGGTGGCTAACTCTTGAATTGGTAAAAATCCTTATCTTTTCTTATTTGAATAAAATATCATTGATAACGTCAGAATTTAAATTAGACCTCCACATGGAAGTTCTAGTAAATTATATTAGCTTTTTAGGAAAAAATTGAGGTCATGGACTTCTAGAACTCAAGATATGGGTTGAATACTGGATAGTATCGGGGCTATATGACAGATTCAAACTTTCTTTATTGCTATAATTTGAACTCGAAAACAACCTTTTTTAAATCATGAACTCCATGAAAGTTGTAGGCTTATGTCTAACCTTTTTATCTATATAAAGTAGACCTAAATCCGAGATTTATAGCTCCAGATATGATCTAATTACTGAACAGTGTTATAGTTTGGATTACACCAGCATCTCTTTTCTAAGTTTGACCATCTCTTTGTCTTTTCAATTTTAGTACTTAAACTCATTAATCAATATTTTCATTTATGTGATAGGCCTGCATTTAAGATGAATATTTACCATAAATTAAAGATATCTTATATTATTAGATATGTTATTATAAAACATGCTTTAGTTAAGGAGTTATTGATACTTTAAGTGCAAAATTATGATATAAAAATATAATAAAAATGCACGTTTAAGTATTAATCACACCCCCCAACCAGCTTATTACTAACCCCTAGTAATTAAAGCATTAAAATAGAAAAATAATTTGCAAATTCCACAAAGCACGGTATTCATCATTCAACTTCCATTAATCTATCCAAATAAATAAACTCTCATTAAATTGATATATATGCTCAATATCTCTTAAACAAGATATTAATAAACCTTTTTTTGTGTTCAATATATCAACATATAGTTATGAGGCTTTATTTGGAAGAAAATAAAATTTTTGTTTTAATATTTAAGGTTAACTTCTTTGGGTTAGGATTATTATATTTTTTTTCTTTTTTTTAATATACATATAACTTAAAAACACAATGCATCTTTAACCCATGTAATGAGCTTTCAGCTAATGACTCCCAAAGCAGTTAGTATTAGGAGATTAGGTGATGAGATACCCCTTCGAGCTTAACAACTCGGGTTGCAAATACTGATACATAGATAGTGCAATGCTTGATTCTCT